TTAAGCCACTGGGTCCGGGACTCGAACCACGGTCAACTACATGGGACTCCAGCGACATAGCCATTATGCTAACTGCTGGTCCCAGCTTTTATCATCTCTAACTTTTAACAGTTTCTCCATTGGAGGAAACAGTATAATTTAGTATTATAATAGTTTTTCTACTGAAAATTTAGAAGCATTAAAAAATATAAGGATGATATTGTTTCAAGAAGTAGGTGAAGGTAGAGAAAATGTGGCTTGAAGTTTTTCTTCCTCTTTTTCACCAAAACTGCTCTCAGCCTTCAAGTGATGTTCTTGAAGAATTTGAGTTAGCAATCGTGGAAATCTTCCTATATCTGTTGCATTTATCTGCAACACAGCTTTTTTCATGCTTGAAGTGCCAGGCCCACATGAGCCATATGGAGGAGCTGCCTTTTGTTGACAGTCTTGATATCTGATGACATTAGTTTTTTTTGAGAGGTTTTTGCTATAGGGCACGTGTGCTTGACAGAAAGACAGAGACAGACAGACAGACAGAAAGCAAGAAGTCACGCCCTGGGGGGATGGCCACACCGCAATCTCTTCTCTGTTCTCCTCTCGGGATCTTGGGCATGCACACACATGTACCTGGTGGGAGTTTTAAGCCACTGGGTCCGGGACTTGAACCGTGGTTGACTACATGAGAGTCTAGCAACATAGCCATTATGCCAACTGCTAGTCCCGTGATGACAATAATTTAGTTACCTTTGTTTTATTATAAAAGTGTATACTTAAAATATTTTGACAATATAACAGTATCAATACTATTACTAATATGATTTCTAAAAACATTTTAAGAATTTTTTATATTTCTTTTCTTCTTAGGATATATTCTACCAGGGATATAGAAGAATTGTTTTAATGTTATTAAAATATTATTTTAAAATTATTTAAAATAATTCCTTGTGATGATGCCATTAATTTCATACATTTGTTTCAATTTTATTTTGATGTTTGGTGATTATTTTCTATTTTAAGAATTATAATTTCTAATTTATGTGTAATAGCTATACATATTTATGGGGTACTGTGTTGTTTTTAGACATGTATCCAGTATCCAGTGTGTATTGATCAAATCATGGCTATAAACATATCTACCTAATCATATCTACTTGTTAAAGCTTTTATCATTACTTTGTGTTGTACACAAACTCCACTCTTCTTTTTTTTTTGAGAGAGATTTTTGCTATAGGGTACATGCACTCGCTGGAGAGACAGAGAGTGACAGAGAGACAGAAACCAAGAAATCATCCCACAAGGGGGATGGCTGTGCCACAATCCTTTCTCTTCCATTTTTTCTCTTGGGATTTTGGGCATGGACACACACATGCCTGGTATGACTTTCAGGCTGCCAGGTCCAGGACTCGAACCATGGTCGACTATGTGGGAGTCCAGTGACATAACCATTATGTCATCTGCTGGTCTCAATAAGTTGAAAATATGTTGAGTCAAAAATGCATTTAATATACCTAACCTACTAAATATCATAACTTAGCCAAGCTTACCTTTTAAAAAAAAGACCAAAATGAAATCCACTCAAGGGCAAAATATAATAATCACTATAGATTTTACTTTTAACAATATGCCAGTATCGAATATCACAGGAACCATGACTAGAAAAGCAAAAACATCCAAATAAAATGAAGAGATATACTATTTTTTTTCTCATGAAAATTGATTTCATTAAAGCACATGAAATACAGTATAACTTTTCATTATAAATGAACAAGGTATGTATCATAAAGGAAACTATTATTGGTGAACTCTTAAAGTAATTATTCAGTTAAAAGAATTATTATAAAACAAGTTTAGATAGGTCAGGAGAATAAATTAAAATGTATGAAGGCCAATTTAAAATAATATTTGATTTTAGGCAAAGGTTTCTTCTAAGCATATTTGAAGCTCATATATTAAATTTGATAGCTAGAGGTAAATTAAAGACATGGGACAATAACCCTGGAAAAAAGTAACCAATGGAATTAGAAAAGAACAGAATTCTAGGACATATGTGATCTGGATTTCTGTCCTAAACTCGTAGAGTTAAGATACCACCTCCCACATCATGCATCAGTGGTTTTCAACTTTGCCCACAGGTAAAAATCTCCTCGATCTTCCATCCACATCTTTGTATGGATCTGGATCCATCACTATGTCTGAAAGCCCTCTTAGACTTATTGAATTAGACAATCTGAGGATGCTTTTTTATTTTATTTTATTTTATTTTTTTAGTTTTTACTGTAGGATGTATGTGCTCACCAGAGAGAAACAGAGAGGGAAAGATGAAAAATGAGAAATCACCACACACACACACACACCCAGGGGGGCATGGCCATACTATAGCTGTTTTTCCTCCATTCTCCTCTTGGGGTTTTGGATATTCATGCCAACACACCAAGAATATATTTTAAACTGCTGGGTTTGGGACTCAAACTGCAAAGACAGCCATGTGGGATCCAGCTGTCCTAACTACCATGCCACCAGCTGGCCCTGGAATTTGTATTTATTAAAGGTTTCACTTTACTATATGTGATGGGGATGTCAAAAAGTTCATGAAAAATAGAATTAAAGTATGAGTTTACTTTAGTACAAAATTTTCCAATCCATACATAGTCTTTTCATAATAGTAATTTTTCATACACATGAACTTTCTGAAGACCCCTCATCTAATGGTATCTTACCTTCCTTTGGTCATTGGACTGGATTCTTCTTCATCAGTGCTACCATCTAAATCTTATGAAGGAGAAAATTTTTTTTACTATGTCTTTGTTATAATTTATTATCTTTTATCTTGAATAAAGTCATAGAAAACTGTTTGGTTTAGCTCCCAGCAGCCCACTCCTGAGCTCTGAGGAAGTTTGCCTTCGTCTGGGCTACCCGATCTTTCTTCTGGGCAATGGACATCTTGGGACGATTCTACTTCTTCTTTTTAACTTCTTTCTTGGGTTTCTTTTTATAGACTGGGTTCTCTCATATAGCAGTGTGAGCTTTCTTATACATCTCCTCCATCATGTCTGGAGTTATATTGTTCTTTATGTACTGAGAGAACTGTTTCTTATAAGCGTCTTCATCTTCTTCCATTTGGTAATGCATGAAGTCTGCAATGTTCTGGCCCATGATGTGCTTCCAATGGACTTCTGCACTAAATTCCTTGCTTTCAGAATCATAACCAGGGAATCGTTTGGTACTGTGAGGGATAGATAAGCCTCCATCCACCGCTCCCTTCAGGGCCCCAAAAACTTGATTACCAGTGGTGGTTCTGGCAAGGCCTGCATCCAAATAGCAGGTGAAGGCACCAGGTTGACCATCGATGCTTTCTACATTGTCCTCATCGTCACGCCGCAATCCCTTCTCCTCCATTCTCCTCTCGGGATCTTGGGCACGCACGCACACGCGCCCGGTGTGAGTTCTAAGCCACCAGGTCCAGGACGCGAACCGGGTCAACTACGTGGGAGTCCAGCAACATAGCCATTGCACTAACTGCTGGTTCCCATATTATTGTTTTTAATTTTGCCATAGAGTATGTGTGCTCATCTTACATAAAGTCAATTTTATAATAAAGTGCTGAGTATCCTCTGCTATATTATTTTTAATCTATCAGATGCTAATTTAAAACTTTAAATAGTATATTTAAACTTTTATTTTTTTCTATCCATTTTGAAGATTATATATATATTTAAAGAATTATTTATTATTATTATTTGTTTTTGAAATTTTTTATAGGACACATGCACACCCACCAGAGAGATACAGAGACAGAGAGAGGGAAACTGAGAAATCAAGCCACCAGGTCCGGGACTCAAACAATGGTTGGCTATGTGGGAATCGAGTGCCTTACCATCACATCACCTGTTGGCCCCAAGGGTTATATTTTTACTTTATACTCAGTGAAGGTATTTATATATTATCAATCTCTATCTCTCCTCCACTTTAACCTTCCAATTTCTATCACCTCTAACATTTGCATTTGGGTTTTGTCTGTCTCAAAGAATAAAAAGTAAAAGTGACATGTTATTGATTGTAACTATTATTTAACCCTGTGGATAATGGCATTTCCATCTGCTAGCTCTCTTGATTCTATTTCCTCAGGTATTTTGTTTGTTGAGTGTGATGTTCTTTCATGGTATTGGTTTCTCTCGTTTGGTAATCCTTGTTTGTATTTGATTTGAAATTTCCTGATAGTCTTCTGTGAATATTGTGTCACACCATTCACTGTAATCTGAATCCAGTGACTGATGAAGAGGCAGGACTGTATATTTGGCATTGCCATGTGTTATCAGCCACCTGGAACTCTTTCTCTCCTGTTTCTGTGGGAGGGGGGGAAAATATGTTTTGGGCGGCAGCCAACTGCCTGATTGCCTTACTATTCATGTCTAAGACTGTTTCCACATTTTGCAGTTATGTGCATGTTGGGATGCTGGTTTCTGCCTCATCCCATTTGCTGTATATTTTTCAGAGGTTTTTCACAACTTTGAGTCCACTGAATTTCCAGGACTTTTATCGAATAAATATGTATATATTAATGTTTTCTTTTGTTTCTACATATATTATCATATTTAGAAATTTATGGTAGAAGAAGTGGCTTTAGCATGTGCACAGTCCATCGTGATTCAGTTTTTGTTTGCTTCCATAGCATTCGTGCACTTATATATCAGCTATTTATTTAGATATCCATCAGTTGCAATACTGTGAGCTTTTTCAAGATGCCTGGAATAAAAGATACTTAATGAACATTTGTTGGATTAATCAAAATTTTATTGGAGATATTACTTTTTAAAAGAATTATTTTATTGCGTGGGAGTCCAGCACCTTAACCACCATGCCACCTGCTGACCCCTGGAGATAGTATTATAAACTACAACAAAACTACATGGTTTGAGTCCTGGACTGATGGCTTGAAAAGCATTCTGGGTGCGTGTGTGTGTGTGCTCAAAATACCTAGAGGAGAATGGAGAAGAAGGGATTGAGGTGTGGCCATCACTTACGAGGGGTGCTTTTGACTTTTCCTCTCACTTTTTCTATGTCTCTCTCTAGAAAGTGCACACACTCTATAACAAATAAAAAAAAATAAATCTAGAACCCAGGTGCATTGGCTTGTAGTATAATACTTTATCATAGAAGTTTCTTCAAGTGTGGGACAGCCAGGTGGTATGGTGGTTAAGGGCACTGGACTTCCACAAGGTCAGCCATGGTTCAAGTCCTGGACCTGGAGACTCGGTTTCTCATTTTCCCTCTCTCTTTCTCTGTCTCTCTATGGGCAAATTAGTATAAATAAATAAATAAATAAAGTTAAATAAAATAATTTTTTAAAAAAGTTTCTTCAAGTGTGTGAAATATCAAGCTTTTAGAACTTTCTCTTTCTATCTAAATGACCCAGATATTTTCTTTTAATGATTCTTCAGAAAGTACATTTCAAGAATATTAATTCTTGTTATTATTGTTTTTCTTGTGACCATTTTTTTCTTAAATTATGGAGATCAATTCAGAACGCAGAACTTAGTCAAATAATTGCTGACTGTTACTTTTTGTTTTCTGTGGGTTATGTGGCTGACTATGGACAGAAGATTAAAATTTTCTTCAATATCTCCTTCCCTCAACCAGTTTAGGGGAGGTGTGAATTAGAAAAAAATCACTTTCTACTTTCTTTCTTCCAGATGAATATGAAAACAGGAAAAGGGTGGGTGGATGTTGGAAATGCTCTGATCGCTGATGAATTTTTTCAAGCTGCCACAGCTGTAAGTTACCATTGATTATTTTTTTTAACTGTGGCAATTATTAGTAACAGCTGTGGTTATTCTCATCATTCCATTGTATTGTGATTTTATTTCCCAGAGTCTGGAGCAATATGTCAGATTAATGCAGAGGAGCTCCACTGACACTCACTCAACCATGCAGAACCTTGCTGTGAAGAACCTCTTCAAAGTGCTTTCTTACCAAGCAGAATCAGTAGGTATCATAGACATTATGGCCTATGGTGGGGCATTTTGTTTGTGTAAGTGAAAAAGTGATGTTACCTATTAGAAGAAAAGTAAATGTCAATGGTCTTTAAAATTTTTTTAAGAATTATTTACTCAATTTTATTATTATTTTTTAATTTGATGAGAGGGAGGGAGGGGAGAGAAGGAAGGAGATGGGGTTGGGGGCAGAGGGGAGAGTGAGTGAGAAGGTAAGCTGCCAGGTCTGGGACCCAAACCACAGTAAGACATGTGGGAGTCCAGCACCTCAACTGCCACCCCACCTGCTGGTCCTGTCACTGTTTTTTTTTTTTATTTATAGGATATGATATTTGAACTTTTTATTTCTGTTTTATATCTGAAGTGACATTATGCATGGTGATTGGAGTCTGTGTGGGGGTGGTTGTGGGTGAAAAGAGTGACGTATAGTTAAATATTATTTAAACCACTTCATATAACATGTGTCATTTATTTATGGCAGCAGTCTCTACTTGAAACACCTGTTTCTGATTCTCTTTTATATTCACATTTATACCTCTAAAATATTTGCCCCCAAAGAGTCTTCTTACTCACTGTTGTTCTGGGTTGTTTGTTGATGTTTTCTAAAAATCTGCTGCTGTTACACAGTGTTCAAAGTTGTTCTTTACCTCTGTTTGCTTTGTTAGTTTCCTTTTTGTCTTCATGGAGTTAGATATGCAAAATATAAGCTATGATGAGTTTACTTTCTATAATTATATAATTCTGGAAATAAAAGAGGGCTTAAAAATAATCTACTATTGGGCCAGCAGGTGCCATGGAGGGTAAGGGGCTGGATCCCATGTGGCCAACTTCATGGTTTGAGTGTTGGACTTGGCAGCTTGAAAATCACACCAGGCATGTATGTATGCATGGCCAAAATCCTGAGAGGAGACTGGAGATGAGGGGACTGTAATGTGGCGATGCCCCCTGAGGGGTAATTTCTCACTTTCTCCCTCTCTCTGTATCTCTCTTGGTCTCTATCTGGTGAGTGCTTGTGCCCTATAGCAAAAACTAAACAAAACAAACAAGTAAAAAAACCCAAAAACCAACCAACAAAACTGCTAGAATCCTCTTCTTTTTACTTATTATTTATTTAATTTCTTTGATGAGCAAGAGACAGACAGAGAAGGAGACAGAGAGACAGTACTCCCAGTAAGGTCTTGACACTGGAATCCACCCCCAGCTTCAGCTAGCCCTGGATTGTGGGTACATATGTGCCTAGCATACTTAGGGAGGTCTCTGGATGTGAAACTAGAACCCTCCCATGTGAGTCAGCTTAACAGAGCATTGTGTTTCATTACTGTAACATTGTTCAGAAACCCTCTTATTTTTATTTGTTAACATCTTTATTGAGATGCAATAGTCTGCCCTTGTCTGCTGGAGATAAGTTCCTAGACCCCCTGTGGATGCCTGAAACCACAGATAGTATTGAACCCTATATATACTGATTTTTTTCTTATACATACATACCTATCATAAAATTTAATTTATAAATTAGAGACACAAAGAGTTTAACTACAGTAACTAATAATAAAATAGAACAATTATAGCTATATATTGTAATAAAAGGTGATGTGGTCTCTCTCTCAAAATATCTTATTATACTATATTCACCTATTTTTTGATTATGGTTGACCATGGTAAGAGAAACTGTGGAAAATGAAACCATGGGGGGAGTACTGTATAACTGAGATGTCATAGAATTCACCCATTTACAATATACAATTTAGTAGTTTTAGTATATTCACAGAAATATGCAATGTTCACCACAATCTAAGTTTAGAACATATTTTGTCACCCCAAAAAGAAACCTCCTACCCATTAGCAGTCATTCACAATCCCTCCTGACCCTAGCTCTAGCAACCACTAATTTACTTTCTGTCTCTATAGATTTGCCTATTCTGGACATTTTAGAAACATGAATCATACATCCAGCCCCTTACCCTCCATGGCACCTGCTGGCCCAATAGTAGATTTTTAAGGCCTCTTTTATTTCCAGAATTACATAATTACAGAAAGTAAACTCATCATAGCTTATATTTTGCATATCTAACTCCATGATGACAAAAAGAGGAAACTAACATTACTAACTAATCATACAATTAGTTGGATTTTGTGATCACCTTTTCTCACTTAGCAGAATTATTTTCAAGGTTCATCCATGTTGTAGCATGGTTCACTGTATGGATATGCCATGTTTTCTTTATCTATTCATTCATTGATGGTCACTTGAGTTGCTTCTAGTTTTTGGCTATTATGGGTAATTGTATTGTGAGCATTCACATACAGACTTTTATTTATCTATTTTGCCATAGGGTGCATGTGCTTGCCAGAGAGAGACAGAGACGCACAGAGAGAGTAAGGTGAGAGATGGCTCCCTAGTGGGGATAGCCATACTGAAATCCCTTCTTCTCCATTCTCTTTGGGTTCTGGGCACACATGCACATGTGCCTGATGTGATTTTTAAGCCACTGGGTCAGGACACAAACTACAGTCAGCTGTATGGGATCCAGCCCCTTAACCTCCATGCCACCTGTTGGTCCCTTGCATATGGATTTTTATGTGTTCATCTGTTTTTATTTCTCTTGGTTATATACCTTGGGATGGAATTACTGGGTAGTATGATAACTCTAACTCTGTGTTAAACCTTTTGAGAAACTGCCAGAATGTTTTCTGTAGCAGTTGTACCATTTTATACTTCCACCAGTGGAGTATGAAGGCTCCAATTGATTCAATTCTGAGAGTCTTATAGTTTTAGTGCTTATATTTACCTCCGTTTTGAGTTAATTTTTAGGTACCCTTGTACAGTAGGGACCTGTCTTAGTCCATTTTCTGCTACTGTAACAATACCACAGACTGGATAATTTATGAAGAACAGAAGTTTCTTTTGTTCATGGTTCTGAAGGTTGGGGAGTCCAAGGGCATGGTGCCAGCATCTGGTGAGTATCATCATAAGGTAGAAAGGCAGAAGGTGGAAGGGAAAGCTAGCATATTAGACAAAAAGTGCAAATTGAGCCAAACTCATTTTTTTTTTTTTACCAGTAACCCACTCCTGTAATAACTAACCCACTCCTGAAATAATGGCATTCATCCATTCATTAAGGCAGAGCTCTGATGTCTTATCATCTCATCTCTTAAGGGCTCCACCTTTTTGTACTGTTACTATGGCAATTTCATTTTCAACACATTAACTTTGAGGGGCATATTCAAACCACAGCAGAATCTAACTTAATTCTTTTGCATGTGGCTATCCAGTAGTCCCAGTACTATTTGTTGAGAAGACCATTTTCCTCCCATTGAATGGTCTTGGTACTTTTATCAAAAGTCAGTTGATGAGAACCAGCAGTTAGCGTAATGGCTATGTCGCTGGACTCCCACGTAGTCAACCGCAGTTCGTGTCCTGGACCCGGTGGCTTAGAACTCACGCCGGGTGCGTGTGCGTGTGTGCCCAAGATCCCGAGAGGAGAATGGAGGAGAAGGGATTGCGGCGTGACCATCCCCCCTGGGGGGTGATTTCTCGCTTTCTGTCTCTATGTCTCTCTCTGTCTGGCAAGCGCACGCGCCCTATAGCAAAAACCTCTCCCCCCCCAAAAAAAAAGTCAATTGATCATAAATGTGAAGGTTTATATCTGAACTCTTGATTTTATTCCATTGATCTAGATGTCTATCATTATGCCAGTGTCACACTGTCTTTATTACTCTAGCTGTGTAGTAAGTTTTGAAATTGGGAAGTGTGAGCCCTCCAATTTTGTTATTTTTCAAGATTTTTTTCACTATTCTAGATCTCTTGCATTTCCATATGAATTGTAGGATCAGCTTGTAAAGTTATACATAGAAGGCAGCTAGAATTTTGATAAGAATAGAGTTGAATCTTTAGATCAATTTGAGGAGTATTACTATCTTAATAATTTTAACTTTATGAACATGGAAAATAATCCCATTTATTAGGTTTTGTTTAATTTCCTATTTTTATTTTTAAATGATGAAACTGAGATTCAGAGAGGGAACATGATTCAGTTAAAGATGGAAGGCCAGAAACAAAATTTTCTGTCTTTCAGTCTAATGGTCCCTATACTGCAAATTAGATCCACCTATATATTGGGTCCTTGGGAAAGTCATGACGTATTTTTGCATAGAAAAACACGTCATGACTTTTCTGATGACCGAATAAATGAGTCCCTTTTTGGTAATTTTGTCTCACCTTTTAATGTTAATGTCTTTCATGGGTTACTTTTCTTTTTAAGAATTATTTTATTTTAACTTTATTTATTATTATTATTTTATAATTTGATCAGAGAGAGACAGAGAGAGAGAGAGAGAGAGAGAGAGAGAGAGAGAAGTGAGAAAGGAAGCCACTAGGTCCAGGACTTGAACCACAGTTGGCCTATAGGAGTCCAGCGCCTTTAACCACCATACCACCTGCTGGCCCCTGTGGGCTATTTTTTAAAAATTTATTTTTATTATTATTTTAACTCACTAGGAAGAGACAGAGAGAGGGAAGGAAAGTGAGAAACTAGCTGCCAGGTACAGGACTCGAATTGTGGTCAGTCATCTGGGAGTCCAGTGCATTAACCACATGCTATCTGCTGGCCCCTTTGTGGGCTACTTTTTTTTTT